TTCCTGCTTAAGGCATCTTCTACCAAATTTTCCTTTCTTGAATGATAATTTATTACGCAATCTTAGTCCTTAAGTAACTCAACCCATCTATGTTGTCTGAGGTTTAACTCTTTCTGAGTGAGAAGATATTTGAGACTCTTATGATCGGTGAAGATATGACATTTCTCACCAAAAAGTTAATGTCGCCAAATCTTTAGGGCGAACACCACTCTACTAGCTCAAAGTCATGGGTAAGGTAATTACACTCATGAGGCTTAAGCTGATGAGATGCGTAAGCTACAACTTTTCCTTTTTGCATCAAGGCGTATCCAAGTCCATTCAAAGAACCATCGCTGAAAAATGTGAAGTCTTTACCCGATTCTTGTTGGGTCAACACTGGGGCTTGGGTCAAGATGAACTTTAACTGCTTGAAGCTCTCCCATCGCCTCTCATTCCAAACAAAAGGAACTCTCTTCTGTAGCAATTTGGTTAATTAGGCTTCTATCATTGAGAAACCTTGAACAAACCGATGATAATACCCGACTAACCCAAGAAAACTGTGTATCTCAGACATTGTTAAGGGTTCCCATTCAACTATAGCTCGAATTTTCTGAGGGTCGACTCTGATGTCGTTAGTTGAAAAGACATGCCTCAAGAATACTACCTCTAATTGCCAAAATTCGTACTTCTTGAACTTGGCATACAATTGTTTATCTATGAGGGTTTGAAGTACGATACAAAGATGCTGGTTATGCTCGTCCTCTGATCATGATACACCAGGATGTCATCTATAAGCACCACCACAAACTGATCCAAGTATGGGTGGAAAACGTAGTTTATTAGATCCATGAATGTCGTCGGAGCATTGGTGAATCCAAACGGCACAACTAGGAACTCGTAATGTCCATACCGAGTTCTGAAAGTTGTCTTTGCAATATCTGTATCTTTGACTTTCAACTGATAATATCCTGATCGCAGATCAATCTTTAAAAAGATACATGCTCTTTTAATCTGATTGAAGAGGTCATCTATTCTGGGGAATGGGTAACAGTTCTTGATGATTAGCTTATTCAACTGTCTGTAGTAGATGCATAGCCACATCAACCCATCTTTCTTCTTAACAAATAAGACTAGCGCTCCCCAAGGTGATATGCTGGGTCGGATGAAACTCTAACAACTCTTGAATTTAGGCCTTCATTTCCTTTAGCTCAGTTGGTGTCATGTGATAGAGAGCAATGGATATCGAGGTTGAACTTGGCATTACCTCAATACCAAACTCTAATTCACGCTCAGGTGGAAAACCCAATAACTCATCTGGGATCATATCAGGAAAGTCTCACACTGCTCGGATATCCTTGAGTATGGGTACTGAGATTCAAGTGTCGATTATATGAGCCAAGAAGGCCTCACACCCACTGTCAATCATCATTTGGGCTTGCACAACTAATATAATCCTCGTTTGATGGGATCCCTCATTAATAATCACCAACTTAGTTCCATTGACAGCTCTGAGCTTAAGTCGCTTAGCTTTACACTTAAAACTAGCGTCGTGCTTGGTTAACTAATCCATCCCTAAGATCAAGTCAAACTCCTTGAAGGGTAACTCCATCAAGTCTATTGGAAAGGTCTGATCCCGAATCCTCTCTAGGCATTGTTTGAAAATTTTGTCCATCAGAACGTCTAAACCTAGTGGGCTAGAGACTTGAACACATATCTCTAGGCTCTCTAACAGGATTTCTATTTCTTGAACTAAGTCGGAGCATATGTAATAATAGGTGGAACTAGGGTCTATTAATACGGCAACTGGTAAAGAAAAGACCATAAAAATACTTGATATGACATCTGTCACATTACACTCCTCAATGGCTCGCACCACATACTGTTTGAAAGCCATTGTAGGCTCTGTATCGGGCACTAATCTAGTTGTCCCATGACTCTATTGTCCTGATACAGAACTACCACCCCTAGTCGATGCTTGGCCTCAATGCACTGGCGGTGCTGATCGCTGAGTCATTGCTGATGTTACACCCTAAGCTCCTGGGCAATTTCAGGCGAAATGACCCATAGAGCCGCAACTGTAGCAACCTCCATACCCCAATTAAAATATCCATGGGTGTCTCTTTCCACACCTAGAACATGGAGAAAAGGTGAAACCTCCAGTCGGCTTATTAGCAACACTCCCAGAAGCTAAGTTCAATGGCCTCCTTCTCGATTCGGACCTACCTCTATGACCCGAACTCTGCCCGTTCTTTCGGGATTACGCTACTGGGGACCTTGAAGAACCCTGACCTGTCTTGTACCCTTACTATACTGCCTAGTCTGCCTATCTAAGGCTCTCCTGACCTGTCTTGTACCCTTACTATACTGCCTAGTCTGCCTATCTAAGGCTCTCTTAACTACCTTCTCCTGGTGGGATAGATGAGAAAAGACTATGGGAGGATCTTCTGCAAGATGGGTCAAAATGTTTCCACGAAGGTCCTCTCTAAAACGATAGCAGCGACGCTCTTCAATCGAAATTATCTCTATCGCATACTTAATGAGCTTGAGAAACTCCCGCCCATACTCCACCATTAAGTAATCACCCTGAGTCAGGTGTAGGAATTGCTCCATCAAATAATCGGAGTGGATCTATCTTATGTACTTCTCTCTGAACTAGGTGGAGAACTGCTCCCAAGTAGGCCTCTCTGGCTCCATCTCCCACCACTCTATCGCGTCACCCTTAAGCAGGGAGGTGACGCACTCCAAGTTACCTGTTGGGGTGAGATGCAATTGTCGAAGGGTACAAAGTATCTCTCTGAGCCACTAGTCTGCTGCGATATGATCATCATGCTCTAAATCGAAGAACTCAGTGGTTTTATATCTACGGAGCCACTCTATGAGGGACTTATGCGGAAAGGCTACTGGATGATTTAAGGGTGTTGGTGGGGGAGATGGTGCAGCTAAAGAATTAGGGTGAGACCTAGCATTCTCCCTAAGTTCGGAGGTGAGGTCTTTGAAGAAGGTAGCTCATCCACCCTCGCATTTGCTAGATCATGAAGGTTGTAGGTATCCAGGATAAAACCCTCACTGATATTGGGTGACAGTGAGACATGATTCTCTTCTCTTCCATCCTAGCTATAATCTGGGTTGTCTACCATAAGGTCTATTTAAAATTGGAAATGACATGAGTCATTATCGTCATTGCAGCTATTTAAGTACTCTGGACTCTTTAGAGGCAATGTACATATACAAAAATTGACTGACTCTAATCCACGGGTCCTAGAAAATACTAAACCCGACACTCTAATACCACTAAATGTAATATTCTAATCCAGTTCGACCCGAAGATCCATGGATTATAATATTACACGGGATTACCGATATAGTGACCCAAAAAATTTTCTTTTAAAACTACTTGTAAATTTCTGAAATTTAATCATCAATGATATGATATAAAAGGATAATAAAATCTAGATTTACAATTTAGGGGGAGCTCCCAAAATTTCGAACGCTAAGCTTACGAGCTAGTGTCTCACTGGAAACTATACTATACTATATGCATTTACTAGATGAAGTGACAAGTGGCATAAGTCTAAAAATTCTAAATATTGTACTAATAATTTGTTGCTGGCAACATGGTGTGGCTGAGAGATTCTGCATCTCATAGCTCACGCACCCCTCTAGTACTATCGAAGAATCATTGGGTACTCTTGGGTGAGATCTGGAATTCTGCATCAGAAAGTGCACCCACTGACTTACTCTATCCCACCAGAAAATCCTGCAGCTTCGATCCTGTGAGAATTAGGAAAACCAAGCGAGGCAATGACGAAATCTACTCTGTATCCACTAATACTAGGTTCCAGAAAGACCACCAAATCAGGTTTAGAATCCCGCAAGAATTGTCTTGCTGCCGGTAAAAAGCAGGGATCACCGCATCCGTGAACATTCCAACTAAAAAATTTTAGATTCATAATAATAATAATGAGGGAATAAATAAGGTACCTAGAATCAATTGAGTATCTCTATAGTTTGGGCCTCGCCTGCATCATGGTTATTTGCTTCTGAAGAAACATGAAGATCTTTGGAAATGCTAGAAGAGTCCACAATTTGATTTCGTTCTGGGAAATTAATTCCGTTTGAGACCAATTCGGAGGGTTTCCCAGAGGTTGAGGTTGGACATTACTTGAATTCAAATTGGTCCTATTCGAATTTGAATGGATATTGAGGTCTGAATTCTCTAACATAACAGCAGCAGAATGCTTGGTTTTATCCAATGATGAGGTTTTGTGAGGCGGGATTCTTGAGCTGCTTGCTTTGAGTGAGCTACGGGAGAGAACAGGAAAGTCTGAGAGAGTGGTTTGAAGGGGACGCCGTTTGAGACAACATGTAGTTTGCCTTTTAGTTTCATGGGGGCTCTCGATTGTGTCACATTTTTGGTAGGTTGATGGCTTGAGGCAACAGGATTGTTAATCGCATGTTGAGAACATCCAAATTGTGGAATGAGTCACGGCCAATAGTGTGTTTCAATTGTAGAAAGTATGGACACTCTTAAGAGAATTGTCCGAATCTAAACCCTGTCCCTCAAATTGAAAATGACAAACAACCCCTGGCTGAAAATGCTGAGCACTCCAATGCTACTGATAATAGCAAAATTGACACCACCCCCTTCGTGCCTTGGATGGTAGTTGAGCGTCGTCAAAGCCAAAGCAACAAGAAACAGACAGAAAAAAGTGGTTCCTTGAATGGTCTAAACATTACCGCATCCCGCTTTAACCCCATTTTTTATTCTTCCGCTGAAGAAGTCATCACGGAAGTTGGAACAACTTTATTTCCATTTAATTTTGATAGTTATAGCTTGTATTGATTTATATTGTTTTCCATTTTGGGGTAATTTTAGAAACGTAGAGCTTTCCGATCAAGAAATCCTATTGGAGAAGGCCCAAACAATGAATAGAAGTAATCCAGTTACATTTGGGCTGAAAATCATCAACAGTCCATGGAAGGATCAACCAAGTAAACCCTAAAATACCAATTGATGACAAATGTGAACAACTTTCATTCTCCTTAGTTGCGGCATTCCCAACCGGAAAACATGGTAATCTCCTCTGCCCTCTCGCCATCTCCCTGCAATCGATTCATTCGTTTCAAGCTTGAATTGCGTTATTTTTTTGTTTGTTTTCATTTTCTTTGTGCGAAAGTACTTTTTTATCTCTCATTATTGTTACCAAAGTTGAGTTTTGAAAGTAACACTCTGATGTTTCGGATTTGCTTGTTTTGACATGGCAGCCTTCACACAAGACTTTCAGGATCAAGAAGAAGTTGGCCAAGAAGATGAGGCAGAATAGGCCCATCCCTTACTGGATCCGTATGCGCACTGATAACAGCATCAGGTCAATATATTTTCTTCATTTTTCTCTTAAATTTGTTTTCATGTTTTTGTTTTAGCTTCACGGTTAAGCTATTTTCAGATCGTTTATTGATAGGTTCTCTTGATCTTTTTTTGTTTCTTGATTGCAGGTACAATGCTAAGCGTAGGCATTGGCGCCGCACCAAGTTAGGGTTCTAAGCCCCATGAGCTTATTTGGTTCAAGCTTTTTGTTTCCTTTTTCTCTCAATTGTCTCAATAGGCCTCAGGTACATGAATATTTTTAATGAAAATGATGATTTCCATAAGTTTTGCAAATTAGTAGGTGTTATTCCAAATAACTTAAGTGGTTAAATGAATTCTTGTTATGCTTAGACGTCATGAGTTTGAGCATGAGCAACTGTAATAATGATTGATTGTTTATTCTCAAATGTTTGAGGGTACTCATAACAAATATCATTTTATAATCATCTTATAGCTTACTAGAAAAAATAATAGTGTTTTTTGAGTGAGCTTATTAAGATTTAGAGATTCATGATTGTTTGGGAATTTGGGGGGTTTTAGTAGTTTTTGAAATTTTTATTATTTTTTGTGTGACAGTGAGTGGGCGATCAAAATTTATGGTTTCCTCTTGCTCATAACAATTTTTTAAACAATTAAGTATCATTTTAAAAAAGAACAATTATGGTTTTATTTCGAAAATTTGACGATTTTGAATTTATTTGAATTAAATTGAATAGGAGTGTCATTGACCTTTGGGTTAGATAGGTCGAATACCTAAAAACGTCTTTTAAAATAATTTTAAGAAAAAAACCGTTTTTTAAGATAAAATTAGTATGCGATTACCAAAAATCTGATTTAACGGGTTCGGGAGTCGATTAGTCGTGGGGAATGATTAACACCCCACAACTTCTAAAATTGGTATTTAACCGTTTACACGTTATTGTAATGGTGAAAATTATAAATCGAATGTAAAGTTAAAATATGATCAATTTATTGAAGTTTAATTAATTTATTTCGAATTGTTTCCTATAGAACATTCCTTAATTCGACAAGAAACCACGAGATTTGCACATCCTTCAATAGAAAGATTATCTCGTCTATTTTTTATCTAAAAAGAATATTCCCTCCTCGATAAAACTCGAGTTGAATATAAACTGAAAATCGACATTTGCATGAAATAAAATAAATTGCTATTTAGATAAACATGTATTACATTATTTAAAAAAAAATGAATTGATTATCATTACAACATACATTCGATATATTTAGAATTCACATTTTGTTAGAACGTCGTATTGGATTGCACCATTTCGATTAAGTAGTACTTTTTACGCTCGTTCTACAAATAAATTTCTTGAAAACATTCGATTGACACTAATGAATAAAGAAATCTTTATATATTTTATAAATATTAATCGAAATATATATAATGGATAATGTATGCAAACTCATAATAAAATATAAACAATAAAGAGATTTAGTACAAACATGTTAACATATATTTTGTTTATGGGTATATATATACTAATTTGGGACATAAAATATATAAAAAAATATTTATCAACTATAATATAGCGAAATACATGCAAATAAAATACCTGTTTTATACAAAGAACTTATAAAATTATAATATATATAATGATGCACTTGTATACATATAATTAGGTATATACATGTAGACTTAAATGAAAATATTTGTTCAAAATGTTAAGCATTCATACACGAGACTTTCATAAATAAATAACAATATATAACATATGCTTACCTATATTGTACCAGTGAAAATAAAACATCAAAAACCCAGTAATAAATTCAGGGACCAAAAACTAAAAGGACAAAGCAGCAAAGATTAAATGGGTAATAAACCTCAAGCATTAAATACCAGGTCAAAGATAGTGACTAAAAGAAATACTATGCTAAACATAAGCACCAAAGAATAAAATCCAAAACTTTATATATTGGTATATAAGCGGGATCGAAATGAATATTATCCCAAATTAACAGCTAAGAACATATATTTACCTGAAAGTTAGCATTAAGCATATAATGACCAAAGTGCAAACAAAACAAAATTTAAAATACGAAGTAAAATGATGTAAAATTACATTCAGTGACTACAATGCAATATTACAAAAGGAGAATGTCCTGAATGGGGGTTAAACCCAAATGCCAAAATTGCGCTTTTACCCCCTTCCCAGTACTACATCGTTTAGTGTGCAATATATATATATATATATATATATCAAAGCCCACGACCAAGAATGTTCCTTAACCCTTCATTTTCATTTTTCCCCTCCTCTAACAAAGAAAGAGAGTAACAAAATGCTCTCAAATTTTCCTCTCTTCCACCGAGAAGGCCAAACGCCTCCTATCACCGAGGAAAAACTCTGGTCGCTACATATCGACGCCGGATACGGGGCTCCTCATCTCCTCTCACCCTAAGACCCCCACTTATAACCCCCAAACTTCTTTCCCTTCGAAACCTTAAAGACCTAAAAACTTTACCTTCGGTCGTGGCTCTCATTGTTTCCGATGAAGCCGAGCGATCTCGGGTTTTGCAGATAGGTATACTTTCCTCATTTCTTCTTTCGGTTTCTTCTTTTTGGGTTGATTTTTTTTTTGGTTTTTTTAACTATTTTTTCTGTTCGAATCTTTCTAGTTTTTTTTCTCCCCCTTATAGATGCATGCTGGATATGATAAATCTCCTTGGGATTTTGGGTTTGATTTTGTTCTCATATTTTATTGGGTTGTTTGACATTGATTTTTTTTGAATGGTTTGGTGATTTTTTGTCACTGTTTGATGGATTGGTTGTTGAATGGCGGCTCGGGAAGTCATCGGTGGTGGCCCACGCGGCTAGGAAGGCGACTGGTGAGGTGCACGCGTCGATTGGCAGCTGAAAAGTCGAGTGTGTGTATCATACGCGTGGCAGATCAGACAGCTGACATTTTGAGGCGGTTGGATGATATTTAGGGTGAAAAACCCTAGATGGTTTGGGTTACAAACGCTTTTCTTTACGAATAATAAAATAATCTTAAATTCATCATTTAAGAAAATGAATACTTTACTTTATTTAATATCAATTAGCTTTACAAAACATATCAGAGCATAATCAACTCAAATCTAATAGTACATGCCAACTATATTCAAAAGAACAAATTACATATTAATCATTACTTTTCTGATCTGAACGTCATAAGGGAGATGATGACATGTCTTGCTCTTCTTAGCTTCTCTTCTTGCTTTCCAAACCTACGTGTGAAACATTCCCACGCCAAGTCGATGACTTAGTGAGGCATATAAAACTTATAAAGTAAACTCTACTTCTAACAATGCATGAACAACTATTACTACCATATCATACAAAAGCATATATATTCTTTCCTGTATCATATACACACATACACATATATCTGAATCTTTATACTTAGCTTTATTATTAATCTTTTCATCATATGATCTTTTATTTACTAGGTGTGCTAACATATATACCATAGATCAATTCGCAAAGAATCAAACATATCATCATCCTGTTTCTATATTTCATTTCATGTCATATAAGCATATACAATATATATATATATAAAGCATTTGTTGTTATCTCTATCTTAGCCCATGTACACACGTGAGAACTAAAGATATGTGAGTACATTGAGGTTGTGCATCTATGCTGTCACCACAACTCGTATAATTCCACTGAGTGGCATATGAAATCTATGTCCCGAAGGACCTGTACATATGTTCCGAAGAACATAGGTAACTGTCCATATGTCCCGAAAGACATAGGTAAACTATATATATGTCTCGAAAGACATAGGTAACCCTCGACTCTTGGCATGCCAACTATACCTCTAGCTCTCATAACACATAACATGGGCATTGTCACTTATTTCATTTCACATATACACATTCATATACATATTCATATAAGCTCATGGCTTTTTATCACATATCATGTAATACTCTTATGGAATCTCAGTTTTCATTATCATATATCTCATATCACATATTCACATGTCACATATCACATTGATCTTAGTCATATTTTCACATGTTCATATAGTCACATAGTTCATTTCACATAACCTCTTATATTCTGATCATATAACATATAAACTCCTAGTTTCTTATCCAATATATCATATAATATGCTGGTAAAGTCTCATAATTCACTTAAACATATCAACTTTCCTATATAGCTCATTTGACACATTTGTATACTAATTTATGTCAATATCTCTTAACTTATATTATATTCTCATTTTTCATTTAATCACTTAAACTTAATTCATATAATTTATACCTTGTTATCATATAACTATTTATATATCCTTATCACACCAAATAACATATAACCTCTATGAATCTATCCATGTATTCATGCATACATAATAGTCATATCAACCACATATACTAACATTCATATATTTATGTAATCAAATATTGGAATTAGACTCATCGCGAGTCTTATTTCCATACACATTATTTACATCTAGTATGCACTCACCTGACCTCACTAGTCAATACCAATCCCTTATCTCTTCTTGATGACTAAACTTGTCCGAACGTTGGTCTCGATTGATATCTACACAATCATGTATATATATTACCATTCCAAATACTATGATTCAATCCTTGATTTCTTAAGCTATAAGAAAGAGTAAATCCCAACTTTCTCTTGCAAGGGTATCGGTACCTCTATAGGGTATCGGTACATCCCTTCACTGGTATCGGTACACTGTTTAAGTATCGATACCCAAATTACATTCGATAACTTTTCGTTTCAAGGGGTATTGATACCATCCTTAAGGTATCGGTACCCTTTGAATTTCTTCCTGAATTTTTACTCTTGAGGTATCAGTACCTGATAAATGGGTACCAATACCCCATTGCCCAGAATTCACTTTTAAGCCTGAAAATCACTCCAAATCTACTTAAACACTTCATGTTTCATCCCCTATCATATTCTTAACTCACATACACATGCTTAAACTCATTAATACCCATTTGTCACATCTTAAACCTCAAAATCCTATCCACCTCATGGAATTCAAGAATTAAACTCAATTTTCAATATGTTCTAAATTCAATTCTATCACTTCATATCTCTTAATTCAACCATTGATAAGTCAAATTTAGTTTCAAATTCAACTCATCAACTTTATTCCAAGTTTTCATTCAAAAACTATAAATCTTTAATCTCTCTTAATTTCTTAATCCTTTGAATTAAAGTTGACTTAAGCTTTCTTTAAGCTTAAGTATTATCTAAT